GATGTGACGAAGTGGCGATGTGACTAAGTAGCGAAGTGACGATGTAACGAAGTAACGATGTCACGATGCGACGATATGACGAAATGATGATGGGCCGATGTCGCGACGTAACGATGTGACGAAGAGACGATGTGACGAAGAGACGATGTGACGAAGTAACGAAGTAACCAAGTGACGATGTGACGAAGTAATGATGTGACGATGTGGCGAAATAACGATGTGACGAAGTAACGATGTGGCGAAGTGACGATGTGACGAAGTGACGAAGTGACGACGTGACGAAGTGACGATCTCGCGATCTGACGAAGTGACGATGTCATGAAGTGAGGAGTTGACTAAGTGAAGATGTAGCGAGAGCACGATGTAATCATCTGGCGATGTAACGATGTAACAATCTGACGGAGTAACGATGCAACGAGTTGACAATGTGTCGATGTTTGATATGTTTATGTCTAGCGATGGCTATATGTTTTCCTTAATTTTTCAATTTTTTTTGATCTATCGCAATTTATCATGTTTATATTTATATGTATATGGATACTGCTTTGGCAGGGAATATATTTTTCCCTAACCTTTCAATTTTTTATCTATCGAAAGTCATGGCGGATGAGATATAGATGTGGGGCGATGTAGGAGTGGCCTTCATTGTAGGCCGCGGATAATAGGGTATTAGACATCTCTTAAAATATATTAGCATGCGAGAAATTTATTAATAAAGATTAAATTATAAGTAGAGAATAATATGTTAACACACAAATATTATATTCAGTCTTTCTGTTCATGTCTACCCATTGAATTCGATATTGAATTTTTGAACTCGATGATTTTCTTGATCGGCAACATAGAGATTGCCGTGTCGATCGAATGACAAACCGGCGGAGAAATGGAGTTGGTTCGATTGTTCTCCACTACCGTTTCCACCAACAATGACACTTCCTTGTGTGGCTCCTTTAGGCCAACGCATGATTCGATCATTTCCTGCATTAGCCACATAGACAGTGCCCAATTGATCGACAACGACTCCTTCAGGATATGACAATTGTGTAAGATCATTTCCTTCTCCTTGACCACCAGCCACGACAATGCCTTGTTTTGCACCTTCCACCCATTTCATTACACGATGATTTCCCGCATCAGATACGTACACTGAATGATCTCGATCGACGAATACGTAGTTTGGGGCAAAGAGTTGATCGAGACGATTTCCATATCGATTGCCACCTGCAACCACTGTTCCTTGAGATTCTCCTCTTCGATATCGTCTCACTTCATCTTTTTCAAAGTCAGTGACATAGAGAGATCCATTCTCGTCCATTGTCAAACCCACACAATCGATGTTGGAGATGATTGTTTCTCCACTTGTCCCATTTCGACGAGGCCATCGAACCACTCTTTTATTCGAACGATCGCAGATGATGAGACTATCTCTCTCTTTGTCGATAATCGCATCAGATGGGTTAGACAATTGATGATCTCCTCTTCCTTGTCCATTTCCACCGGCAACCACTTGGCCACTTGTTGCACCTCGTTTCCATTCCACAATACGATGATTCACTCGTTCAGCAACATAAATTGTTTGATCATCATCAACATACAAACCACATGGCTTTGAGAGTTGATTGATTCCATTGCCTTGTCGATTTCCTCCAGCTACAGTGATACCAGTTTGTTGCCATCGAGCATTCGGATGAATGTCAATGGAACTTCCACGTAATGGATGGACTAAAATACACAGAAAGAAGCGTATAGTATGACACACTCAGACAAGAAAAAACAAATTTTTAACATTCTCTACTTTGAATGCATGACTAACGTACCATTTCTAATTATAATTTTAATGCTACATGAACTCAAAAAAACTATCACTGAAATAAAAATGTGTTTTTTCTTGTTTTTTTTCTCCTTCTATGTTAATACTATTGCTACTTAGGAATATCATTCGTCTACGTCATCGAACATCATTGTCTCACTCACAGTACACCAGAGCACAGTACATATACCACGAAAGTAGGTTTTTTAAATGTACTTTTTTGGTTTTCTTTCTGTTTTCTAATTTTTCATCGTTGTTCAACATATCCATTTCTAACCGACTTTAAGAAAAAACCAATACCGCTTTTTCTATTTCTTTAACAAACAATGAAAAAAAAACAATCCGTTTGATTTTAAAAACAAAAACAATCGGATGACATTTTTATTTCTCGATGCTGACTATCACGGCGTACGTATGTATGGATGTTAGTGTGGTTGTGCGTGTGGGTATCGATCTGGGTGTGAGTCTGCGTATCGGCTTGAATATTGGCACGGGTGTGCATCTGGATGTGGAGCACAATACGCAGAAGCCGGGGCTCACGGCAATATTTCACGTGTCAATTCGCTTTTCAGTCGGGACTATGTGCACCATGTCGGCCCTAAGAAGCTGTGAATATCCTGAAAAAAGTTTTGTTTTTTCCTGCATGTTTAAGCACAGCGCCTGGTTCCCTTCAAGTACACCTGGAAGATCAACTTTTGAATTTTCACTTGAAACTTTGCACAGAGAAAGGTCTC